TTTAGTTTTTAAAATATGGCCGAAAAACAAAAAAAATGCCTTTTTCTTTTTTTGCGTGTAACTTCTTTATTTTTCGTTTTTTGTGAATCTGAAAAAAACATTCCTAAGGCAACTTTTAATGAAAAATGTCATAACATAATAATAGTAAATGACTTTATTCGTTCACTTACACCTATATACATTATACAAATTATATTTTATGCATATAAAAAGGTGAACGAAAAGGCGAAGTTCAGTATAATACTGATTTTCAACTTAACCTAAAGAGAGCGAAAATACAGATACGTACGTAATATAATAACAAAAATAATAATAATAATACAACCAAAACATGCAAAAGCAAATAATACTGCCATCTGTAGTGAGAACCTTACATACCCTCTAATGTATATGTAATATCTGTATGGTATATCTCTTATGGTTTCTGAAATCCCAATGGTGCGGGTCGAATTTGAATTACCCTGTATACTACTAGAAAAAATTACTACCTGTTTAGAGAAGACTAAATACTGCTGGAAGAAACTATTATCTGGTTGGAAAGATAAAATACTTTTTTTAAAAGACAATTAACTACTTTCAGAATGCTAAATATTGTTGGAAAGACTACTAATTGCTTGGAGAAGGCTAGATATTGTTGGCAAAGACTATTTAATGCTTTTAGAAGACTATATACTGCTGCTAAAACACTACTACTATCCGTGTAAAAAGTCAAGGCCCCTCACTTTAGAGATCTATATCTTCGCAACCATTCGATAAAAAAAATTGCGACAAAGTTTGTTGTAATCAGTGAACATTTCTATATAACATATGCTAATTTGAAAATTTTCGGATCCACGGTTTTCCTTTTATCACGAGTTAAATGAAAAAAGTACCCAATTTTTGAGAGTATCGAAAACTCGAAAACTATGGAACGAAAAAATTAAAATTTTGAACAGGTGGTAGCCTGATGTGTTCTTAATGAGTGGCATATTTTATTTTTTCGATATTACATACAGTTTCACGGAAAATCGCGGTTTAGTAAGACGCCGTTATGTCGAAAACGGTTGGGTGGATTCGTAGTGCATGGATGAGAGGAGTACGGATTTACTTTTGTATGTGTATATGGTACTACAAATGTTTGAAACCTATTAATTGTATAAAGTTTCTAGGAAATGTATACAATGCTGAAATAATTTAAGAAAAATTTAAAATAATTTGTGAAAGTTTTTTAATACGCATTCGTGTGCATCAATCTTTCGATTTCTAATCTCCACATGTCTTCATTAATATCTTCTCTCCACCTCTCCTTTTCTTCTTCCTCCTTATGGTGTCTAGTGTAGCATTTTCTTTGGTAGTAGATCTTAACCCATCCTTTGTACTACATGGCGATACGATCTAATTTGGGCAGTTCTTATGTCATCTAAAACGTCGTTTCATTATATCTTTATATACATATGTCTATTTTATCCTTTATTGGCCACCCTTTAACTGTAGGTTATTATACTTCTAATTATTGAGTTGTATATTTTGTATTTACTTTCTTGAGGTATATGTTTAGCTCACAGTATACTGTGATTAGATGCTTCATATGAATAGATACTTCAGATTTCTCAAGTATTTCCTTCTTCCATATTTTTTACACCCTGGTATTTGTATGAGCTGCAATATTTGATGCTTTGTTTGTCCTAGATAAGCAGATCTTGTTGTTTCAATACACATGCATTCAGTTTTTTGCAAGTCAACCTCCAAGTTCCATTTATCATACTTTTCAATTAGTTTGCGTGATCATCAGTATGTTTTCAAAGTCCTGATTAGCCCATTCTACACTTCCCTGACTTTACGAATGTCTGAATTTACCATGAAGAATTTTTAAAGTGTTATGGTTTTGTAGTGACTCCATACTTTTTTCATCATGCGATCTCTTCCGTCATGGTAAATTCTTATATATGCTTCGTACAGTATATGTAATATCTCGCTGTCACATACGTATAATAGTACAGTATATAGCTTCTACCGTATACCACCAGTAGCTAACACCCCTTTGTAATGTTGATCAAACTATAAATTTATTGTCGTGCACGTGATAGCTTAATAGTGGCTTGGCAGTATTTTGGAAAATTATTAGAATATATAAACTTAAACGCCTCAATTGCTGAAAGAGACTAGATATAGTTGGCAGAAGACTAAGTATTACTAATGAAAGACTAGATGTTGCAAATGAAGCAGATTCTTCCTACAGACCACTTCACACTACTACCAGAAGACGAAATACTGTTGGTAGAAGACTAGATATTGCTGCAAAAGACTAAATATTACTGGCAGAAGACTAAGCATTGCTAGTGAAAAACTAGATATTGCAAATGAAGCACATCCTTCTTACAGAAAACTACATACTACTACTAAAAAAACAAATACTGTTAACAGAAGACTTAATTTTGCTGTCAGAAAAGCAAATTATGTTGTCAGAAGAGTACTAATGGTACAAATCCCGTTTAAATTTCTTCTAAATACTTGTTAAAATTGCCTCCCCCGCTTCCCGATTTCTATGTTATTTAGATTTGGTAGTCCAAAGAACTGAATTCATACACTTCAATTAATTCAAATATTTCTTCTTGGGACGATTTTCTTTTAGGCGTCATCTTTGAGAAACGTGGGGCTAAATCATGTGTTTCTAGCTCTAGGTCTAGTGTTAGTTCTAGTTTTAAATGTATTTAACTTTAGATTGTGGTATATTTTAAAACTAACACTAGACCTGCGCCTAAAAATAATTTTGATGTTTTTTGAAAGAGTTTCGACGCACGGCTAAGAAAAAACTTTCCGGTGTTAATGTCAACTTTAATTTTATTATTACATTCGTAATCTCTATAAAATAACCTTTAAAATGAGTCCAAACATGGCGCACTTATCTCAAAAAACAAAAAAGTTTGATTAAAAAACATTAAACCCGAAGTTAGCAACAATGAAGATAGCAATTTAATTTTTAAATATTAATACCAACCTTAATTTCTAATTTTTTTTATTATATTTTTGTTTTTGTGACAAATTTTAAGACATTTTATAAAATTAAGAATATATCAAAATGACATTGACATTTCAAACCGGAAGTTGCTTATATCTCGAGTAATATTGGAATTAAACGTATCATGTTTGGGCTCATTTTAAAGAATTTTTCACGACGATTCCAAATATGTCAAAATTGAGGTTGACATTTCTAACCGAAAGTTGACCATAACTTCATTAATATTGAAGATAGATACAGGGTGTACAAAAAGTATGGAATAATGGTTCTACAGTCTAAACTTCAACTTATATTAAAAAAAGTTTTAAATAAAAGTTACTTGAAACTATTTTCCGCATATCTTGACGTAGAAATAAAATAAAAATGATGATGGCAGTCTGAATTACGACATGGTGAGTGTTTCTTTTAAATGGAACATCCTGTATATTTTAAGGTTGTTCGATTCCTTTTGACAAGGTGTTGCAAAATGCCATAAGGTTTTAATTCTTTAAACTGCATGAGATATTGAAACATTTATTTAAAAAGATTTGACGTAGCGACAACCAAATTATGGAATAGACAACTTAAGCCTTGACGTCACAGGGATGGGCGGAGCTTATACCGATTCCAAATCTTTGTCGCTAACTGTGGTAAATAGGTTGTTTATTCCATAATGTAAGTTGAAGTTTAGGCTGTAGAACCATTATTCCATACTTTTTGTACATTCTGTATATCGTGTTTGTACTCACTTTAAAGGATTATTTAATGAAGATTACAAATATGTCAAAATTGAGGTTGACATTTTACACCTGAAGTTAGTTATCATATAATAGACAAATGGACAACATCGTGGCGTTCTTTCATGATGTATTTTTTATTAAAAAAAACCTTTAAAATGTGTCCAAACACGATGCATTTATCTCAAAATCAAAAAAGAGAATAAAAACCATTTTTAGGTCTAGTTTTACACTAGCACTATCACTAGAACTAACACAAGACCTAGAAACTGTGTGCCGAAATTTTTAAATGACGCGACATACCGTACTCTGCAAGACTTGAGGCATTTTTCTTGTCTAGCAACAGTTAACGATGTTAATGACACTAAACGTCACTGCAATGTGATTTCCATGGCTTGTTTTAATCTTTGATGACGCTGCCGAAGGAGCTGCGTTATTCTTTAGAGCTTGTAACTTTGGTATTAACAACAAAAAACAGAAATGATCAGAACAGACGAGACTACAAGCTCCTTATGTTTAAAATTAATTTCTTTTGTCAGTGCCCCCACAGCAAGCTTCAAAATGTAGGAAAAAAACACGCATTAGCCTTATTCACCATTGCTGAAATTGAAGAGCGAAACTACAAAGCTACCAAATGGGGAAGGCACCTACAGAAATATTGGAAAAGGGTAAAAAAAACCTTATTCAAATCGAGCAATACGTTTTAGGTGTTTTAGGCATTTTAGGTGATACATTTTTTATGTCGCTGAGTGTAGTTTTCCGTCTAATGTTAATTCTAGTCTAGTAGTGTTAACACAGTCTATCTAACGACATGTAGTCAGTCGTTATGCATCGAAAGCCTAAGAAAAAGAAGGGTGTTTCATCTGTAAATATACGTTGTAATCTCACCTAATTTAGTGAAAATAACGTTACTTTTAAGTTTATCAGATTAATTTTGTGCGTGGCTATAAAATAAACAATTTACATTAGGTGTTAGCCAGTTTAATAGGAAATTGCTTGGTTAACATTGCTTATGACGTCACAATACGTGACGTCACATCGAAAGTTTAATTTATTAAAAAAAATCGTGATTTTTAAGCGACATGATGATTCTTGAATTTTTGTGTTGTAAAAATTAAAATATTAAATTACTTTTTTTGTTGCAGAATAGTGAACTTTAAATAGTATTATTTTATTCCACTTTTTAAATTTTTTTGGAGTTTTTATCTATTAATTATTTAATGTTAATTTCCCAGTGTTTTTTATACTTTTTTTTCTTTAAATTGCGTTAATAAAACTAATAATTTATTATTATTTTATTCTTAAACATCAAAAGAATTCGTCCTAACCTAAAAAAAAAACAATTTTATGCGTAATAACCAACTTCTTCAAACTTTGCCTTTATATTATACAACTTAATACATATCCTCTTGGTTAATATCGCTCATAAAATGCATCCCCCTTTCTTGTAAAGCTTTAGCAATTTTTTTTTGTTGATCCTGTTTTTGTTCTTGCTCTTTTCTTTGAGCATCTAAAATATCCTCCACAGACACCTCACTTAGTGGTAATTCCCCCTCTTTTTCGGTATCCTAAAATTTTCTTTTTACAAAATAATCCCACATATTTTCGTTTTAATTACAATTTCACCTAAAAGTACCACATTTTCACCTCGTACTATAAAAACACCACGGGGAATGTCCCCATATTCTTTCCCAACGTGTATCCTTTCGATCGTTCTGTGTAAAACGAGATTTGCAAATTGATCAACACTTCGGAGATAACCGATTAAAGTTCTTCCATCTCTAAGTAAAACCATGAGTTTTTCTAAAAAACCGGGTCATTCAAAATTATTTAAATCAAAATAACCCCTTACTGTCTAATTCATCTAAAAGATGAGCGGTTCCTTCTAATTCTGGTTTATTCATTTTAAAACATACAAAATAACGGGACTCAAACCACCAGACAATAATTTAAGGTTATGTTTAATATCAACATTAATGAAGTTAGTTGCAAGTGCCGCTGTATACAGAGTCGTTATTATCCGCTTATTTTCTTCTTTTAATAATTAATCTAACCTATTTTTAAGGTTATCTAATTGTTTATAAATAAAATTAAAAAAACCACAAGAAAGTGAACCGATTTCTCTTAAAAGTAACTGTTTCGTGACCTCAGTTTTAAGTGATATTTGCCGCAATACGTGACTGCGTTTACAAAACTCGATTTTATAATATTATTATTATATATTAAAAATGTCCGAAGAAGACTTATATTTAGGATTAGATTTAAGCACTCAACAGGTGAGAGAAAATTAAAGGTTAATTAATAAATTATCTTAATAATTTAAGTTGGTATTGCGCATGCGCCAAACTTATAAAAATAAAAAAAATCGAAAATTTTAATTTCAGCTTAAAGCGATCGTTTTAGACCAAAATTTACAACGTACTCACGAAGCTTCTGTTATTTTTGATACTGATTTACCCGAATTTCGCACACACGGCGGTGTCGTCCAAGATAAATCCAATTTAAACGTTGTTACTGCGCCTACATTATTATGGGTGAAAGCTTTGGATATTTTAATGGATCGTTTACTCGTAGCTGGGATGGATTTTGCGAAAATCGCCTCTATTTCAGGAACAGCACAAGTAAATAATTATAATAAGCGTTTTATTGTTTATAATTTACAGTAGAAATTCTTTTATTATCTAATTTTTTTTGTTAATAGCAACACGGATCTGTTTATTGGTTAAAAAACGCGGAAAATACTTTAAAAACATTAAATCCTGATCAATTTTTACATATACAATTAAATGGTGCCTTTTCAATTCAAAATAGTCCAATTTGGATGGATTCGAGTACGTCACAAGAATGCGAAATTTTAGAAAAAGCGGTTGGCGGCCCTGAGGTTTGACAAGTTCAAAAAATTGACATAACCTCATTTAATAATTTTCTTTAAAACAGAATTTAGCTGAAATAACCGGGTCTAAAGCGTATGAACGATTCACTGGTGCTCAAATAGCTAAAATTTATCGAAATAAACCCGAATCTTATCACAACACGGAAGTAATTTAATTAATACGAAATTATTTTAAAAAATTATCTTTTTTTTTTTTTGTAGAGAATTTCTTTGATTAGTAGTTTTTTATGTTCGTTATTTTTGGGAAAAATCGCCCCGATTGATATATCAGATGGTTCGGGGATGAATCTTTTAGATATAAAATCGAAACGATGGCACCAAAAATTGTTGGAGGAAACGGCGCCGAATTTAAAAGAAAAACTTGGAGATGTCGTTAGTTCCTACACAATTTTAGGAGACGTATCTAGTTATTTCGTTGATCGATGGTGTTTTAGGACTGATTGTAAAGTTATTGCATTTACTGGGGATAACCCAGCATCGTTAATTGGTAATCCTCTTTAATGTAAAATAAATATACTAAACTAATGTGTATTTGTACTGTCTCACATAAAATGCAACATAACTTAATAGTACAGGCATTGGATTGTTTTGCAACTGAGTTGTCAACTCTGAGTTTTCGGCCGTCTTAAGAGACGCACAGCTAAACCCGAATGTTTCTAATTCTAGGCATTCTGAGGAATGTATTAAAATTCTCCACAACATATTAAAACTATGTCAAAAATTTCAGTATGCAAGAACTACATTGATTTGTAGTATAGATATATAATCAATGTATCATAACTATGTCAGAAATACATCAGATTATGTCAAAATTATCAAAGATGTATCAAAACCATGTCTAACATAAACATAACGTCAGATATATGCAAGATATGAATTTGGAACACCTCAGAACGTTCTTAATTGTGATTGATATAGATCAGAACTATAAGATTATTGCCAGCATTCTGAGGAATGTATTAAAATTGTCCACAATATATCAAAACTGTGTTAAACATCTCAGTATACAAGAACTACATTGATTTATAGTATAGATAATATAATCAATGTATCAGAACTATGTCAGAAATACATCAGATTATGTCAAAATTATCAAAGATGTATCAAAATTATGTCTTATATAAACGTAACGTCAGATATATGCAAGATATGAATTTGGAACACCTCAGAACGTTCTTAAATGTGACTGATATAGATCAGAACTGTAAGATTATTGCCAGCATTCTGAGGAATGTATTAAAATTTCCCACAATATATCAAAACTGTGTAAAACATCTCAGTATGCAAGAACTACATTGATTTATAGTATAGATATATAATCAATGTATCAGAACTATGTCATATATGTCAGAAATAGATCAGATTATGTCAAAATTATCAAAGATGTATCAAAACTAATATCCATTTTAACTGGTTTTAGACTCACAAGCATCAAACAACGTAAATCAGACTTTGACGTTTGTCAATAAGTCATTAAACATTTGTTTTCCATGGCACACTAGGCTAAATATCCATATGATATGTGTGCATTTTATCATGTTGCTGAAGCATGTTCTGAATCCTAAATTGATTTTTCTATCTGATTTTTTGAACAAATGTCTGCTGGAGCAGATTTTTCTAGAAAAATTCGAATAACTCGAGAACGGCCGAATCAAATTGCAAAAAGTAAAGTTATTCATAAACCTTGAAAACAGACAAATCCAAATATGTAAAAATATACAGTGTGTTCCATTAAAAAAATAAAGTTGGTGGCGACTTCCGGTATAATCGGAAGTGCTATAAATCTGAAAACACTTTAGTTGAAGAGAACGCAATTGATAATACTTAAATCTAAATTTTCAAATTTTTATTTTGACCAAAACCCTGTATATTTTTAATGGACGGTCGTCGTGGATGACCCTGCATGTAATCAATGTATCAGAACTATGTCATATATGTCAGAAATACATCAGATTATGTCAAAATTATAAAAGATGTATCAAAACTATGTCTAATATCAACATAACGTCAGATATATGCAAGATATGAATTTGGAACACATCAGAACGTTGTCAAATGTGAATGATATAAATCAGAACTGAAAAGATTATTGCTAGCATTCTAAGAGCTAACATTGATTTATAGTATAGATATACAGCCTGTTTCAGAGTAAGCGCCTTATTATTTTTTAGCCACAGTATGGGTACTACTTTCAAAATATTTGGCAGTAAACTGTTTTAAGACATTCTCTACACGATGGTGATACCAGATTTTCAATTGGACCAATTATTTCAAAATGGCGAGTTTCAACTTTTTTTTTTTTAATGGAAAGCCACAATTTTTTTTATTATTGAGATCTTAAAAACATTCTTTTTACGATAGTATTTCGTTTTTTTTAAAAATTCATTTATTTTCCCATTAAAAAGCAAACTAACATTTTAATCTAGTAGCGCATGAATGTTTCACTCGATGTTATTTTTGTAGCCGTTGACACAAAAGAAACAATTAAACTTTATTTTGTCATAAACATTTTGAAACTCAAAATTAAAAATTTACATCAATTAAAAATTACAAAAAATGCTCGAAATGTTTTCCTTCTTTTTCAATACATAAATTGAATGGAGTCAATGGATTGATAGTATTGATTGACGCTTGACTACTAGATTAAAGTTCAATTGTTCTTTTGTGTCTACTTGATATTTGGACAAAAATAACATCGAGTGTAAAACATTCATGAGCTACTAGATTAAAATGTTAGATTGCTTTTTGATGGGGAAAGAAATGAATTTTTAAGAAAAACGAAATACTAACGTAAAAGGAATGTTTTTAGGATCTCAATAATAAAAAAAAATGGCATTCCATTTAAAAAAAAAAAGATGAAAGTCGCCATTTTGAAATAATTCGTCCAATAGAAAATCTGGTATTACCATCGTGTAGAGAATGTCCTAAAACATATTACTGCCAAATATTTTGAAAGTAGTACCCATGGTGTGGCTAAAAAAAATAAGGCGCTTACTCTGAAACAGGCTGTATAATCAATGTATCAGGACAATGTCATATATGTCAGAAATACATCAGATTATGTCAAAATTATAAAAGAGTTATCAAAACTATGTCTACCATAAACATAACATCAGATATATGCAAGATATGCATTTGGAACACATCAGAATGTTTTCAAATATGATTCATATAGATCAGAATTGTAAGATTATTGCCACCACTAGACCTAGAATTAAAAACATTCTAGGTCAATGGTCTTTTTTGTTTTTTGAGATAAACGAGATCACGTTTGGACACATTTTAAAGGTTTTTTTAATAAAAAATACATCATGAAAGAGCACCATGAAACTGTCCATTTGGCTGTTATATGATAACTAACTTCAGGTGTAAAATGTTAACCTCAATTTTGACATATTTGTAATCTTTATTAAAAATCCTTTAAAGTGAGTACAAACACGACATATTTATCTTCAATATTAATGAAGTTATGGTCAACTTCCGGTTAGAAATGTCAACCTCAATTTTAATATATTCTTAATTTTATAAAATGTCTTAAAATTTGTCGCAAAAATAAAAATATAATAAAAAAAAAAATCAAAAATTAAGGTTGGTATTAATATTTAAAAATTAAATTGCTATCTTCATTGTTGCTAACTTCGGGTTTAATGTTTTTTATTCTAACTTTTTTGTTTTTTGAGATAAGTGCGTCATGTTTGGACTCATTTTAAAGGTTATTTTATAAAGATTACGAATATAACAATAAAATTAAAGTTGACATTAACACCTAAAAGTTTTTTCTTAGCCGTGCATCGAAACTCTTTCAAAAAACATCAAAATTGTTTAGTGTTAGTTCTAGTGCTAGTATTAGTCTAGTTTTATTTGTTATTCAGCACTAGATTATAGAAATGTTGCATTTTATGTGGGACGCCCCGGCTTCTATGGAAATATATTTTTATATATTGCATCTTAAATAAAATTTACTGTATTTTTATAATTTTAGGTATGAGATTATCGCCCGAATGGCTTGCAGTTAGTTTAGGAACGAGCGATACAATTTTTCTTTGGTTAAATGAGCCAAAAGTGTTATTAGAAGGCCACGTTTTTTGTAATCCTCTCGATGACGAAGCTTATATGGCTTTATTATGGTTATTTAAAAAGATATACAGTACCGCTCAAAAGTGTATCATATTTTGTTTGATGTGTGTATCTTTTTTCCTACTTAACTTTTTGATCTAAAATTTTCACACAGCATTTCGCATCTTTCAAACATGTTTTGAACATTAAGTACACATCACCTTTTATAAACAAAATGATTTATCAAAATAACGTAAACTGATAACTTCAACAATCGCAAAAACACCAGATATATGGTGTGGGAACCATGACACTTCCATCGCCGTGCTTCATGGCGGGCAATTGGTATTTGGAATCGAAGAAAAACGTCGTATCCACAATATGCCATCTGTTCTAAATGTCAGAAACTTGTTCTCTTCAGTTGAAGTAAGCCTTTTTGGCCCATTCTTGGCCAATACGAACGATTTCTTCACTGCTCGTCACCAAACGAGTCCAACAGCATTTAGTCTTCTCAAAATTAACATCCAATGTCCACTACGCCAAGCTTAGGATTGCTCCTGCTCAGCCGTACGGCGTTCCTATCCTCAAGGGAAGTGGTAACTCAACTCTTGGTCTTCCTGGACGTGTTTTCGTCACTAAGCCTCCCTGAGTTCGCCAGTTCTTAAGAGCTCTGAATAGAGCAGACTGCTTCAGTGTCATCTTTTGACAACGGCCTTCTAGGATCTTCTGCATCACTTCAGACACATCCCATGTTTGTAAATACAGAAAGAGTAAATTTAAAGAAAGTGTAAAAATTAAAATATAGTCTTATACGTTCGAAAACGGATTTTGGGACAAAAATCAAAAAAACAATCGATCTTTCACCTCAAATTTTGTTATTCTTACGACCATAAAGTTTGAAGTTTGAGTTTGATTGGTGTAAAATGAAATTTTTCAAAATATGATACACTTTTGAGCAGTACTGTAAGTAAAAAAATACTTAATAAATCAAAAAATAAATTTTTTAGTTTTAAAAATGGATCGTTAACGAGAGAACGAATACGAGATTCTTGCGCAAATGGTTCATGGGACCTTTTTAACCAACTTTTAGAGAGCACACCACGCGGAAACTTCGGCAACATGGGCTTGTTCTATGACCGAAAAGAAATTATCCCATTCGTTTCGGGCGATTTTTGTTACAATAAGCGTGGCGAAAAAGTGACGAAATTTTCCAGTTTGGAAGTCCAAGTTAGAGCTTTAATCGAGGGACAATTTATCGCGAAACGCGCTCACGTTGAGGATATCGGATTTAAATTCAACAGCGAAACAAAAATTTTAGCCACAGGCGGTGCATCCAAAAACAAAGCGATTTTACAAGTTTTATCCGACGTTTTTAATTCGCCCGTTTACATTTTGGTTGGAATTAAATGTTTTTTGAGGGTATTTGGATTTATTTTTTTATTTTAGGATACGTCGAATGCGGCAGTGTTAGGATCTGGTTATCAAGCGAAATATGCGTTGTATAAAAAGGAGAAATGTTTTAAAGAAGTTACGGAAAATCTGCCAGAACCAAAGTTATTGTGTTCTCCGTTTCAAGATGTCGAAGAAATTTATATTCCCATGGTTGAAAAATATAGGAAAATTATTGATGTTATTAATTATGCGAACTGTTAAAATAGTTTTAAATAATTTTGTGAAGTAGATATCTCCGTGTCTTATGCATTTATTACAGTTTAAACTTGTATACAACACAAAGTGGGTCAAGTATGACATTTATGTTATCAACGTTAAAAAAAGTAATCATACAAAATCATCAGGTGCTAAATTAATGAAAATAAACAAGTAGGTACTGTATTAACCCATCTTGGCCCATCTTAGTATCTTTTCTGGTTGAAATTTTTTGATGACTCTTTTATGTTGGGATAAAGTTTATTTTGATTGATATAGAATTGAGTTTCCTTCAAAATGAGTCCAAACTCGACTATTTTATCTTGTTTAGTTCTCGAGATATTCGAATTTTAAGGTTTGATTATTATCAAAAAATGGCGGATTATTACCATTATTTTTTTTATCACAACTTTTTTGTCTTTTAATATAAATATATCGTGTTTGGTATCAAATTAAAGGAAATTTAAAATCTTATCGATCTATGATAAATTTGATAATTAATTATGAACTAAAGGGGTAATAATAATAATAAATTAAGTGATTTTAATTAAAAAATTTTGAATTTGATTTTAAATAAAAATCAATTTCGTTTTAATTTATAATGATTCAAATAAACAATTTTTTTTATGTCAGGTTTTTGAAAGAAAGATGATAAAATATTGAACTGCATGATCATCTTCTATTAGCTTCATCCAAAACTGGACGTACTTTTGCAAATTTATCATTTGCATCTAACTCATTATTGTTGAAAAACGAATGAACCTTTTGATGGACTCAAATGTAGATCTTGGAAGAGATTGTGTCACAATTTAAACCCCCAGGTCTGGTTGACTTGACCAGTAGTTTCCATCAAGGAACATGTCTCAATAAAAGAATACCGAAAAATCTTTTCAATTCACATGGTTTCAATCCAAGATAAGCATTATTTTGAACAACGCTAAATTTAACAATCATATTGATGAGTCCATTATCTAAAAACTTAACAAATAGTTCTTGAGGTTAAAGTACGAAAGGCAGAATCTTGGTCCGCCAATTTCTGAACACCTGTATATGCTACCCGCATTTTTATCAGTTAAAAAATATCACATGTGATTTATTCAGTTAAAAAACCTAAGTAGGTAGTTTTTATCCACTTAAAAAATCAGGTTATTGGTATACAGGTATATATTATTGAAGTGCAAAATAAAATAAAAAAGTTTCTAGTGGATAAAATCAACGTCTGGGCAAAGATGGGTTAAATTTTTAGGTAAATATATAGCAAATAAATATGTACTCACCTTTGAATTCATCTTCATTACATTCCGAACTGGAATCTTCAAAGGTTACGTTGAATAGACGAAATAAACATCCTCGTCTAACATAAATCTTTGTATTTTGCTGGAAAAGTGTAAACATAAAACCTATATGAACTCAAAAACCGTATTTTACCTTTAAATAACGAAACTTCAAACCACTTCAAACGTTAATGTGACACAAGATTTCAAAACATGATGTAACTAAATTCCCTGCTAATGTTGCCAACTGTCATAAATTTGACAGTTATAAAGATTTTAATAATTTATGTTTATTAATATTTTATAAATTATTTATATATTTTTATAACATTGTTATTAACTTGTAATTTATAAAAAATAAAGCACGCTTTTTAATACAATACGAAAAATTTTATTGCTCAAAAAAATATCATAGTTATTAATCAAGAGATTTTCTTTAAATAAATTGTAAATAAATTTTTAATTCATTTAGCACGGTTAAACCCGATACTTTCTAGTTTTAGTGTTAGTTCTAGTTTTAGTGCAATAAAAATATGCAACATGGTGATATCTTATGCTAACTAACGCTACCTACCACTGTCGCTAGAACTAACATTAGACTTAGAAGAACTAAAAACATTCAAGGTAAATGTTTTTTATTTTTTGAGATAAATGCATCATGTTTGGACACATTTTAAATGTTTTTTAATAAAGAATACATCATGAAAGAACACCATGCAGTTGTCCATTTGTCTATTATATGATAACTAACTTCATGTGTAAAGTGTCAACCTCAATTTTGACATATTTGTAATCTTCATTAAAAATCCTTTAAAGTGAGTACAAACACGACATATGTATCTTCAATAGTAATGAAGTTATGGTTAACTTCCGGTTAGAAATGTCAACCTCAATTTTAACATATTTGTAACCGTCGTGAAAAATCTTCAATATTAATGAAGTTATGGTCAACTTCCGATTAGAAATGTCAACCTCAATTTTGACATATTTGTAATCGTCGTGAAAAATCCTTCAAAATCAGCCCAAACATGATACGTTTAATTCCAATATTACTCGAGCTATAAGCAACTTCCGGTTTGAAATGTCAATGTCATTTTGATATATTCTTAGTTTTTATAAAATGTCTTAAAATTTGTGTCAAAAACAATAACTTAATTAAACAAATCAGAAATTAAGGTTGGTATTAATATTTAAATATTAAATTGCAATCTTCATTGTTGCTAACTTCGGGTTTAATGTTTTTTATTCTAACTTTTTTGTTTTTTGAGATAAGTGCGTCATGTTTGTACTCATTTTAAAGGTTATTTTATAAAGATTACGAATATAATAATAAAATTAAAGTTGACTTCAAACATTGATATCTAAACAGAAAAATTTAACTTCAAAACTTGCTTTTATTAAATATGCTCAGTACAAAAAACTTACGTCATAATTAACTATATAAAACTTATGTAGAATGTGAAAAAAATCATAATACCAGTCGATTAACTACAAAAAACTTTCTTTTCTTTTCTTGTGAGTGTATTCTTTTTGAAATTACTTCTCCTCTCTCTTGTAACTTTGGTTTTTGTCTCTTTTTCGTTTTTTTGTAACCTTGATTGTCGTGTTTATACAGTTTTTAATATTTTAATACATTTTTTATTCGTAATCGATTTTAATTCGTTTTTTGTAGTTAATCGACTGGTATTATGAATTTTTTCACATTTTACATAAGTTTTATATAGTTAATTATGACGTAAGTTTTTATATTTGTCTATTATATGATAACTAACTTCAGGTATAAAATGGCATGATGTAACTAAATTCGCTGTTAACGTTGCCAACTGTCACAAATTTGACAGTTTTAATATTTTATAAATTATTTATGTATTTTATAAAATCGTTATTAACTTGTAAGTTATAAAAAATAAAGCACGCTTTTTAATACAATACAAAAAATTTTATTGCTCAAAAAAATATCACAGTTACAGTTATTAATCACCACAGATTTGTTTTAAATAAATTGTAAATAAAAAAAGATTAAAAAATAACTTAATTGATATTTCTTTTTTGAAAAAATAAATTAATAAAATTCAGGTACTCACCGAGACACTTTTTGGTTATTATCTGGGTATTTGCAGGAACACCGAAACAAACAGAAGTAAAAATTAGTTAGAAATTAAAAATGTTGTTTAGTTTAAAAACATATAAGGGAAAATGTTAAAGATATTTCGTCATTTATCGGTTAATTTCGTTTTAAATGAAGAGGAAATATCTTTAAAACAAATCCTAAATGAAAAAGTAAAAATAAAAAACCACCTAACCCAGGTTAATTCGTTTTTCTAGAGGAAGGAAAGACAAATATGCCCCTACTTGTGAATTAAAATTACTAACACTTTTCGTTTTATTCATTTTTACAAACCTGAGCTAAATAGCTAATAAAGGTAATAAAATTTTTCACCTAACATTCATTAAATAAAATAAAAAAATTAAAAGAAATAAAGAATATTTCATAAAAAAACACTAAAAGAAAAATCTATACATACCTATATTATTTTTCTCTAACAACTTCCTATCACTATCTATTTATTATCTCCTTCATTATCTCCTGCGCCTTTATTTTCCTATTAGAAAAATCTTCTAATAATTTCATATCCTGCGAATTTTTCCTGACTCTTTTTCATTTTTTGACACCTTTTATCACTTCCTAACACTCAACTAATAATAAACGAAACCCTAAAAGTAACCTAAATCACGAATATTCTTTTGCAAGAAAAAAAAACAACCTTTATTGTTATTAAATGTCAATGTTACAGATAATAAAAGAATAGAACCAAAACGTTGTTTTCAAAAACTATAATAAATCGTATAATTTTATTACATCTAACGTTCGTACATTAAAAAAAATCCATAATCTCTCTACACACTAATCCTACGTTTAGTTTAGATCAAAGAAACTTTTCGAATATTTTTTATTTATTGAAATTTAAATTTAAAAAACTTAAATTGCACCGTAACTAAACACATATCGAGTTTGTTTTAACAGAAAAGAAAAAAATGGATCACCTACACTAATCACACACATATCTAAAGATGAATTGAACAAAAAAAATTAGTTGAAAATCAAAAAAAAAAAAATCTTAAACCCTAATTTTATTGTTTATCGTTAATTAATTAATTTGATAACTAAATTAAACGACTTCAATTCATTTCATTTCAACACTAACACATTTTTTTTATATCATTAATAAATTAATTAATTAAATTTCGATCTCTCCCAATAAAAACGGGCGAGATAAATTTTTAACTTCCTTTTTTTTTTTTAAATAAAAACATTTTGCGTCAATGTCTTTTTAATTGTCCAAATTCACTTACTTTTTGTCTCAATCTCAAAAATTTCGAGTTATTAAAACCGACGGTTACCACCACCACCACCACCCATTTGACCCCCATTTTGGTTGTAACCACCGCCTCCACCTCCACCTCCACCGCCGTAACCACCGCCGTTACCTAAAAAATGAGTTGTTAATAAAAAATTTTATTTATTATTTAATTAATTAACCGTAAGGAGCAGGTCGATTTTGTTGGAAATTATTTCTCATAGCACCCCCTCCGTAATTCTGTTGATATCCACCTCCGAAATTATCGTTGGGACCTCCCCCATTTCCACCCCAATTTCCTCCTCCACCACCTTGATTACCCCCAAAACCATTTCCTCCTCCTCCTCCTCCACCACCACCTTGATTTCCACCCCATCCTCCTCCTCCGCTACCTCCGCCTTGTCCACCACCTTGATTATCCCACGGATTTCCATTCCAATTATTTCCGCTATAACCTTGTCCTTGCATATTCCAATCGCCACCTCCGCGATTACTCCAATTTCCACCTCCACCGCCTCCGCCGTTATTATAATTACTACGAGGACCACGAGGACCCCTCGGTCCAGGTCCACCCATATTTCCTCCTTGACCCCCACCTCCACCTCCGCCACCACCTCCTTGATTTCGTTCCATTTCCGCTTTACTCAAAGCTTTTTTAACGTCGATGTGTTTTCCTTTTATTTGATGCGAACGTTGCACTAAAATAAAATTGCATTTAAGAAAAATAAGATGGATATATTAGATCTATTATATCTATTAGGTTATTATCTAATAGTTTTGAAAGGTGCTGAATGCGAAAATGATAAGCTTTTTCCCATAACCCATCGTTTTTCTGCATCTCAACGCAATAATCTGAAACTAAATATCTTGATGGAAACGTTCACCCTGGTAATACTCAAGTTTTCTGGGAAAAAATCGAAATAAGAATGCAAAAAGAAAGAAATCTTGTTTGCTTATTAGGCTGCGAAGATTTTCCATTTTTATTGAGACTCATTGACACTGCTGATATATTATTGGCTAGGAATAAAGTGGAAAAGGAGATGATTATCAACGACACGAACCCGTTTAAGAATGATATTCTTTTTTGGATATGTTGATGATGTTCTGGTAATAATTAAAGACAACACTAAAAATCCACATCATACAACAAATTTCACACAAAAACGGTTACAAAAAAAATATATATAAGAATTTAACCTATAGATCAATTAGCTATCCTGGAAACTTAGAACCTTGCATTTAAGACAAAAAAAAAACACTTAGAAACAACATCGTCAACAACAAAGATAAACCAAATCTCCTTAACAAAAGTGGAATTTATAAATTGCAGTGTGGAACATGTAATACCACATATATTGGTGAGACTGGAAAAACAAGAAGAAGAAAGAAAGTTAATGAATTCTCGCCATCATTTTTAGGAATTTTCGTCGCGTTGTAACACCAATTTGTGATATTGGTTGCATACTTTGTCGGGTACGATAATTAATAAACACACCGTAGGTAACTTTATTGTTACTAACGTTTAAAAATTTTTTTCTAATGTAATTTTGTTTGTAGAAGCTCTCCGAAGGCGGCTAAATAAATAAAAATCACCAAAAAGAAATTTTTCAATTTACTAATGCTGATATACAGTGTGTTAATTAATTATCGTATCCGACGTTATCATTCTAAGTATGCAACCAATATCGCGATTTTCGTATTCCAATACCAATACTGTGATATTGGTTGCATACTTGCAATGATGACGTCGGGTACGATAATTAAATAACACACTGTAGTTAGGGTCTTTATCATTCCCTAAAAATCTAGTGATCACCTTTACAAAAGCATTCTGACATTGTGTACCAAAATTTCTCATCAAATATTAGTTTACGTATGTCAGACCAACAAAAATTCGTTCTTTTAGTTTTGCCTCTGACAAATGTAGCAACTTTGTGCACTATGTAGAAATAACACTATACCAAGAACTGTAATCATTTGGGTTTAACCGCTCGTCTCTTAACAGGGCTAAATCCGAATGATTTTAGTTCTAGGTCTTGTGTCAGCTCTAGTGATAGTGTAAAACTAAAAAAAGCCGTCTTTGGAAGCGAGCAAAACCCAAACGATGCTAGTTCTGGGTATAGTGTTAGTTCCACATAGTAACAGTACTAGTGTAAAACTAGAACTAGCACTATACCTAGAAATGGAATCATTCGGGTTTAGCCGTCATTAGAGACGAGCGACTAAACTCGGACGTTTCTAGTTCTAAATATAGTGTTAGCTCTAATGCTAATATTAGCTCTAGTTTTAGTTGTTACTCAGCGCTAAATTGTTGTATATTTTTATTGAACTAAAAGTAGAACTAACTCTAAACTTAGAACTAGAATGATTTGGATTTAGCCGTGCGTCTGTCAAGACGGCAAAACCCGAACGTTTCTAGTTCTAGATCTAGTGTTAGTTCTAGTTTTATTTTATCACTGTAACTAACACAAGACCTAGAACAAGAATCATTCGGGTTTAGCCGTCTTAAGAGACGTACAGATAAACCCGAATGTTTCTAGTTCTAGGTTTAGTGTTAGTTCTAGTTTTACACTTGCACTGTCATTAGAACTAACATTAGACCTAGAAATATTTGGATTTAGCTGTACGTCTCTTAAGATGGCTAAACCTGAATGATTCTAGTTCTTGGTCTAGCGCTGTATAATAATTAAAACTAGAACTAACACTAGAGATACAACTAGAAACATTCGGATTTAGCCGTCTTGAGAGACGTGCGGCTAAACCCGAATGTTTCTAGTTCTAGGTCTTGTATTAGTTCTGGCGATAGTACTAGTGCAATGCTAGAACTAATACTAGACCGAGAACTAGAAACACTTGGATTAGGCGCACGTCTCTCAAGACGGCTAAAGCCGAATGATTCTCTCTTTTGGAGTTACTAGAAATAATAAACTACAAAAATAATAAAGACAATAAACTTCTCAATGATCAAATTGAGGTTATTCAAAAATCTATTTTTACCTTTCTTAAGAACTTTTAATTTAAAGCAATTTTAAAGTTGTATATCTATAGTGCTCTAGAACTTATGTTTTCTTTTTCTTCTTCCGTTTTCGTCGTTTTTTGCGTTTTTCGCTTTCTTGTATTTTCTAACACGACATTTTGTGTTTTTAATTTTTACGTTCAGTTTTGTTGTTCAATTTGATTAATATTAAATTAAATATTAATGATAAATATTTTTACGGATGTAACTACAACTTTTATTGTTCACGTCCTAAATTTTAATTTGTCAACCTTATGAAAGAAGTTTTTCTTGCTGAAGTTGAAAAAAATCTTTTTTTCCGTTTATCAAATTTTGACAGTAAGTATTTGATTTTGGATTTATACGTTTAATACCATAGCTGATAAAAATTCTTTGTTATTGTTTTATAGTTTTTCAACTGAAGATGAGGTTTAGACCTCGAAACTAGTTTCGAAGTAAATTTAAGTAAATTTATGCAAGTAAGAGGTTTATTTTCCTGTTTTAATTAATAATTAATTTAAAACAATTTGCAACATGGATAACAATTGTAATTACTGAATGATTCTAGTTCTAGGTCTTATGTTAGTTCTAGTGGCAGTGGTAGGTAGCGCTAGTTAGTATAACACATTACTATGTTGTAATATTTTTATTGCACAAAAACTAGAACTAACACTAGACCTAGAAATATTCGTGTTTAGCCGTACGTCTAAAAATAATTTTGATGTTTTTTGGAAGAGTTTCAACGCATGGCTAAGAAAAAACCTTCATGTCAACTTTAATTTTATTATTATACTCGTAATCTTTATAAAATAACCTTTAAAATGAGTCCAAACATGACGCGCTTATCTCAAAAAACAAAAAAGTTAGAATAAAAATCATTAAACCCGAAGTTAGCAACAATGAAGATAGCAATTTAATTTTTAAATATTAATACCAACCTTAATTTTTGATTTTTTTTATTATATTTTTGTTTTTGTGACAAATATTAAGACATTTTATAACCTTAAGAATATATCAAAATGACATTGACATTTCAAACCGGAAGTTGCTTATCTCAAGTAATATTAGAATTAAACATATCATGTTTGGTCTCATTTTAAAGCATTTTTCACGACGATTACAAACATGTCAAAATTGAGGTTGACATTTCTAACCGGAAGTTGACAATAACTTCATTAATATTGACGATAAATATGTCGTCTTTGTACTCACTTTACAGGATTTTTAATGAAGATTACAAATATGTCAAAATTGACTTTGACATTTCTAACCGGAAGTTGACAATAACTTCATTAATATTGACGATAAATATGTCGTCTTTGTACTCACTTTACAGGATTTTTAATGAAGATTACAAATATGTCAAAATTGAGGTTGACATTTTACACCTGAAATTAGTTATCATATAATAGACAAATGGACAACTTTATGGTGTTCTTTCATGATGTATTCTTTATTAAAAAAACCTATAAAATGTGTGCAAACATGATGCATTTATCTCAAAAAAAGCAAAAGAGAATAAAATACATTAACCTTGGATGTTTTTAGTTCTAGGTCTAGTGTTAAATCTAGTTTTACACTAGCACTGTTACTATGTTGAACTAACACTATACCTAGAACTAGAAACATTCGGGTTTAGCCGCGCGTCTTTAAAGACGGCTGAACCCAAATGATTCTAGTTCTAGGTATAGTGTCAGTTCTAGATTTACACTTGCACTGTCACTAGAACTAACATTAGACCTAGAAATATTTAGGTTTAGCCACATGTCTCTTAAGACGGCTAAACCCGAATGATTAAAGTTCTAGGTCTTGTGTTAGTTTTAGTGCAATACTAGAACTAACACTAGACCAAGAACTAGAAACATTCGGATTTAGCCGCACGTCTCTCAAGACGGCTATGATTCCAGTTCTAGGTCTTGTGTTAGTTCTAGTGATAGTGTAAAACTAACTCCACAAATGTAGAAACTGTGCAGATATACTGAAACTAGTCATCAGGGTGGGGTAAAGCTATGACGAATTGTTTCATGAGTCCTAACTTGATGTGAAGAGGGGGAAGACAAATGCTTCTAAGATCAACTAAAGTTTTGGGGAAAACGTTCTTTTCACCTGTCCCCAATGTTTGTTGAGTTAACTATACTTTTTTAATCCAGTTGTAAGGTATGACTAATAGTAAATGCTGTTATTAATATTAAGTAGGTTAGGAGTAATAAGGTTAGTACAACAAACATAACAATGTTTGTTGTGCTATGCTAGCAGTGAGTCTAGTATAAGTATAGTGTAATTAATTGTAACAGATATAGTTGAAAGAAGTCAAATAGAAGTGAGATAATTTTTTAGCACCTCTTTTAAATTCTCGTAATTTTCTTTGAGGTGTAGAGGATGCCCTGGAGGTAAAGGAAGCATATGTGTTAGCATTGTGCAGGAATACAGCCTTCAGGCTTCTTTTTGAAGAATCAATGAAAAGCCTCCATTTGTCAGCTTTCCATTTTTTTTTTTTTACATCACAACAGTAGACCAACTCGCCTTCTTGTTTAAAATAATCAATAAATTCATAATCTCTAAATCTGTACTGATAAAAAGATATTCCAGCAGCCAGTAGCTTTTTTTCTTTTAGTCTAGAACCCAAGAGTTTAGCATTCTCCTTGGTAAGTTCCAAGTCTCTCACAAAATCATAAAGCTCAGAATAAGAAAAAGTTATGGGGTAGCATAATCTGAAGGATCTTGGAAATCACAGTCATCTGTAATACACTATATCTCTTTTATTCTTAGAGTTACACCCATTAAAATCATAGCAACAAAAATAACAGTCATTACTATGATTATTTGGTTCCCTCCACACCTTCAGAATGCCAAATTTAAATGATTTTTTTACTTGATGACGACTTCTTGAGATCTTCAACACAAATATAACACACTTTGTGAGGTGCCATAATTGGGCACTCAAGTCTCACATCAAAATATGTTTGTCTGGTGCTTTTTAATGACAAGTTCATCACAAATATAACAAAAAATGTCCTATTCCCTTTTATTATAATCAAAGGAAATAGGAAAACGCGTAATGGCGACGTAATTCAACAGAAAATTTGTTAACATCCAAAAAAAAATTAAATTTGCGAAAAAACTAAGGGTGATGGAAATTTTTCATCATTTTCCACAGATTCAGCACCCAAAAACCAATAAAGATCACCTTTCACGTTTCAAAAAAGCTTTTTGGGCGCAGATAATTATTTTAAATCAAAATTAAACACTTACAACAGATTTTATCGACCGAATCATAATCTTCAAATTCGATAAATCCAAATCCTCGTTTCTTCCCTGTTTCTTTATCAGTAACAACAGTACACGTCAAAATAGTTCCAAATTTCTTAAAATGTTCCCTTAAATCGTCCTCCTCCACGTCCTCTTTTAATCCTCCAACAAAAAGCTTCTTAACCGTAGCCCCCGCTTCTGGTCTGCCAATATCTTGTCGTGGGACCGCTCTTTTCGGCTCAACGACGCGGCCATCGACGCGATGGGGGCGCGAATTTTGAGCGTCATCAACCATATGGGCCCTCGAATAAGTTATAAATCCAAAACCTCGGGATCGCTTCGTTTTTGGATCCTTCATAACGACCACGTCGACGATTTCGCCCCATTTCTCGAAGTGTTTTTTTAGTGAATCGTCGGTTGTACGGTAATCTAAGCCGCCGATAAATAGTTTTCGGAAATGTTCCGGTTCCGGTTTGTTATCCTAAATGGTTAAGAAATGAAATTAAAATGGCATGATGGTGACAAAGCGTCATCTTCGGTTCGGCGTTTCTTTTAACTTGTGGTACTTACGGAGGAATTATTGGAGCAATCGTCTTCCCGCTTCATGATTGAGTTTGATTATTATCGAAAAAAGCACCTACTTTTGAGAAAAATTAGAGAAAAATGTGGCTTTCAACAACACAATAGATTAAACGTAAACCAAGCGCAGGTAACGCCACTAAATGACGTGAATTTAGCTATAAATGAGTACAGTTATGATTTCACAGTAAAAAGAGACAGATCTAATCGAGAATTTATGTGTAAGATAAAGATAGAGAAACGCCTATTTATTGATTGTTTAAACCACGCATGCGTATTCGTATTAAATGAGTCCTTTATTTTAGGTTGGTACCAAATGTAACCGTTTTCTTTTAAATTTCAAAGCTATTTATTTAAAAACTAACAAATAAAACTTTATTAAAATTAATTAATTTCAACAATTAAAAACAAATCAATTAAATTCTACCAAGTACTAATACAAAACAAAATTTTTATAAATATTTTTAATGAATAGTTTTTAACTTAGGTTGGTATTAATTTTGACAAGTTGTTTATAAAGAATTAACTTATTAAATAATAATAATAACAAAATTAAATGCTTTTGAATATTCCAAAACAAAGATTTCTTTGGGTCGTTTTCAAAGGATAAAAGTTATAACGTGATTCTTGGTACGTTGGTATTAGAAGACATCATATAGGGTGAGTTTTTTTACGAAGTTTAATAAAACTTTATTAAATTTAATTAATTTCAAAAAAATTAAGCTTTACTTGATACATAAAAAAATGTTTTTATAATAATTATTTGTAATTAAAAGTTTTTAACATAATTAATTTTAGGTTGGTATTAAATTTGATAACCGAAATTTGACATTTATGACAGGTTTAAAATGACACAATTTATTTATACAAAGTGGTAAGTTATTTTGTTAATAATAATAATAAGATAAACTAAATTATTTTGAATATTTGAAAACAAAGATTTCTTTGTGTCTTTTTGAAAGGATGAAAGTTATAACGTGATTCTTGGGACGTTGGCACAAGTCCCGAAGACAAATCATATAGGGTGGTTTTTTTACGGGGTTCCGGGGGTCGGAAATCGCCCTATTTATCTGACCTAACTGGTGGTGCATTTTTATTAATTTAGGAAAAAAGGCTGACGGGCGACCCGGCGTCGTCGTCTCTTCGACGCCGACGATGCCGGCGACGCCGTAGAGACTGGCGTCGTCCCCACATGTAGACGAAGAGGGGTTGTTTTTTGAACCCACCCCGAAAACCCTAGTTGTAAACACACAAATCTATTTAATTTCACCCCGGAACCTCTCTTTCTGTTTATTATTTGTTGTTTTTCTTTCAACTTTTTAACGAGAAAATGAAACTAATTAAATTTTCCTTTAAATGGTCCCGAAAGAAATTGGGGATCATTAATTTTGTTTTCTTGTTGTTGTTGTGTACCCGATTGGGAATGGGGTGCGAGTTTGATTGGCGCCATTATTTGGAGAAAACATCCGCGCGGTTTGGCGCCGGGCGTCGCGGCGCCGCCGGTCAAATCGCGAATGACGACGTCGAGGGGTTGGAAACGGGCAGAGAGAAAAAAATAAACTGGAACACCGATGTTTGTCAGATTGTTTGTTGACTTGTCGTTAATTTTTCACCCTATATAGAAGCGTCCGTCGCCGCGACGCCCCCAAAGACGACGTCGCCCCGAAGACGCCTCAACGACGCCGGCCTTGTTTCGGACTCCGGCACCAGAGCCACCCCCACGTCGAATCCCGCAAAGAATGTTTTTGTCTCGGACTCCACAAATTCGAACAATAACTACCCTATATTGACGACTTGGTAAGTTGTTTTTCTTCTTTGAGATTCACATTTGAATCTAAAATTAGATATCATCAGTATAAATTGAAAGATTTATGGTTTGTTTTCATAAAACGTTTGGGTGAAATTTATATGAATCTTTTAGGAGGTAAATTGTGTAATTAATCATTGGCCAAAGAAAAAGAAATGATATCAAAGAATCTAAACCCATTTTTTCTTCTTCTCAATCTCTTCCTCCCATTGGGCTCTTGATCTACCGCGCTTTCTCTTTCCTTCTAGCTTCTGTTGAACATTTTCTTAGATATTCTATTTTCTTTCATTCGAACCAGATCACCATACCGACTTAGTTGTTTTCCCTCTACTTTCTGTACCAGGGAGTTTAAGCTTAGTTCTTCTGTGATGTTCTTGTTCCGTACTCTATCTCTTCTGGTTTCCTCAATATCTTGCGTGGGTACTTCATCTCTGCTAATACTATTTGTTTTAAAGGATAAAGCTAAGCGCCAATCACGTTATACGATTATAAGTCCGATTTGCATCGTACGTCTAATTCTAGTTCTCTCTCTCTAGTTGTATATTTTTATTGAATTAAAACTAGAACGAGAACTAAAAACATTCGGGTTTATTCGTGGAAAAAACTTTCAGTTGATATTATTATATATGTAATCTTCATAAAATAACGTTTAAAGCGAGTCCAAACATGACGCATTTATCTCAAAAAACCAAAAAGTTCAAACTTTCAACTTTTAATTTTGACATATTTGTCAACTTCATAAAAAATCCTTTAAAATGAGTCCAAACTCGACATACCTAATTTTAATAATGAAAATAATAATCACTTCCGGTTTGAAACGTCAACGTCAATTTTGACATATTTGTCATCTTCATTAAAAAACCTTTAAAATGAGTCCAAAGATGACGCACTTATCTCAAAAAACAAAAAAGTTAGAATAAAAAACATTAAACCCGAAGTTAGCAACAATGAAGATAGCAATTTAATTTTTAAATATTAATACCAACCTTAATTTTTTATTTTTTTTTATTATATTTTTGTTTTTGTGACAAATATTAAGACATTTTATAAAAATTAAGAATATGTCAAAATGACATTGACATTTCAAACCGGAAGTTGCTTATATCTCGAGTAATATTGGAATTAAACGTATCATGTTTGGACTCATTTTAAAGGATTTTTCACGACGATTACAAATATGTCAAAATTGACGTTGACATTCTTAACCGGAAGTTGACCATAACTTCATTAATATTGAAGATAAATATGTCGTGTTTGTACTCATTTTAAAGGATTTTTAATGAAGATTACAAATATGTCAAAATTGAGGTTGACATTTTAAACCGGAAGTTAGTTATCATATAATAGACAAATGGACACCTTCATGGTGTTCTTTCATGATGAAAACTAGAACTAACACTAAACCTAGAAATATTTGAGTTTAGCTGCGCGCCTAAACATAATTTTGATGTTTTTTGAAACAATTTCGACGCACGGCTAAGAAAAAACGTTCAGGTGTTAATGTCAACTTTAATTCTGTTATTATATTCGTAATCTTTATAAAATAACCTTTAAAATGAGCCCAAACATGACGCACTTATCTCAAGAAACAAAAAAGTTAGAATAAAAAACATTAAACCCGAAGTTAGCAACAATGAAGATAGCAATTTGATTTTTAAATATTAATACCAACCTTACATTTTGATTTTTTTATTATATTTTTGTTTTGTGACTAATATTAAGACAGTTTATAAAAGTTAAGAATATGTCAAAATGACATTGACATTTCAAACCGGAAGTTGCTTATATCTCGAATAATAATGGAATTAAACGTATCATGTTTGGACTCATTTTAAAGGATTTTTCACGACGATTACAAATATGTCAAAATTGACGTTGACATTCTAACCGGAAGTTGACCGTAACTTCATTAATATTGAAGATAAATATGTCGTGTTTGTACTCATTTTAAAGGATTTTTAATGAGGATTACAAATATGTCAAAATTTAAACCTGAAGTTAGTTATTATATAATAGAAGTTTTATAACTGAAGTTAATCTAGTCTTAGTTATTTTTCCCCACTTTCTTTTTATTTTTAACGTGTCTTTTGGGTCATTTCACATTGATTAAAAAAAATCGTCGATTTTTAAGCCTGATGATTCTTGAATTTTTCCCAAGTTTCTTAATATTTTTTTGTTAAAAAAGAGAGAACTTTTTAAACTGTAATTTTGTAAATTAGTAACTAATAATCTGATTTAGAATTTGATATGTGATCTTTTGTTCGTAAAATGGATAAGATGAGAGATGTTTATCTATTTGTAGAGTCTTTGAAGATGGCCAAGGGCCGAAACTGGTAAGACTTAAATTCTATATAAAATAAAAACCAGTTTAAAAGTACAAAATCAAACTCACTAGTATTTTCTTTAAAAATTATGGAGAGTGCAATTAAAGAACTGGATTGGACTTCCTACTTCTTCTGTTTTACCTTATCCTTGACCGTGACATTCCACCACTCTTTCGATATTGGTCGGATTTTAGTTCAGCATACTCTGGTAGCTNTGGAGAGTGCAATTAAAGAACTGGATTGGACTTCCTACTTCTTCTGTTTTACCTTATCCTTGACTATGGCACTCCACCACTTAGTTCTCTTTCGATAGTGGCCGGATTTTAGTTCAGCATACTCTGGTAGCTGTCCCTAGTATTGTTTCTCTGAACTTTTTCCATCTATCGTTGAGACTCCACTGTTCTTCTGATTCGACAGCTTGTTCTTCCAGCCTTCTTAATTCCTCCAGAAGTTCTCCACCATACTCCTTCCTTCTTTCCTGGTTTTCCAAATTCTTCCAGTTTTAGTCTTTCATATATTGTTGTTGTTTCTTTCAGATCTGCTTTCAGGTTGGTATCAGTTATCAATAGTCGGTGTCTTGTACTGAATATCTCATGGATCTAGAGTAAATTATATAATCTATTATGCTCTTCGTTCCTCTTTCTTCCGCTTCGTTTGTTATTTTATGAATATTTTGTGTTCAGAAAAGTATCATTCTTTACCCATTGCTGTTAAAAACCTCTTCTCCTCTAAACCAATTTTCAATATTTGAATGTGATGGTTGACAAGAAAGATGTTTTTGTTGAGTATAAATACTCTTTATTAAAAGCGTTTCTCACGTATATCAAAGAATAATGATCTCCTTGTATATTTTTTTATTTTGATAAGATCTTTAAAGAGGAAAAACATTATCTGATGGATTGGGTATGAAATGTAAATAATAAACAAGACGGACTTCTCCAAATAAACTGAGCTTCGTTAGATATCGTGCGAGTTGCAATAATTTTTTTTTGATTTGTGTATAAACAAATATAGCCGTTTTATTGAAGATCATTGTTCGACGTCGATCCGACTGGTGCAAAATGTAAATAGGTGGTAAGTGTTGGAAATTTGTTTTCCGAGTTGGAAGGTCGAAGACAGTCGCCGCCAGTTTCTGCGGCGCGGCGCCAATAAGACTGGTAAACAAACCAACTGCTTGAAAACTATTCATTATTTTTTTTATTTATTTCGTTGATCTTGTTTAATGCGTTTCCGATATACGAATATCAAATAAATAAACATATAAATTTTTATGTTTTTGTTGCTAATCAATAAAAATATGAACTAAATAAGCTGTTTTTTAAAGATTCTGAAGAAAAGTAATGATAAGGTTCATTTTTGCTTTATTTTGATGGGAGATGTTAAATTATATTCGGTTCCCTTGTATATCTATTGTAAATATATGGGGGGTTAAAATTGAGGGTGGATGGATGGCATTTATTGCCGACGTCGTCGGTCGGTCGTCTGCGGACGGCAGACCTGGCACCAGAGTTTGTTGTTGTTGGCTGGCACCGACAACTGTCTGTATTATCCCTATTTAGAGCGAACTCAGTCTAGCCACCTTAGGCGCCATTCGAAACCCACCCTCACCACACCGATTCTCCAACAAAACCCCCTTATTCTGGGGTCCGAATAAAAACTCACACCTTTTTTTTAATTTCTTTTAATATTTACATCTATTCGTTAAGAAATAATACAATTAAATCAATCATTTTTTCATAAATTTGTTAAATAATTTAAAATTACCCCCAATAATTTTAATGGTTTTCTGTTTTTTTTAATGTTGTTTTATTTTAACAATCAACAGATGGCACTATTTGATAAAACGTCAAAAACACAAATTGGTTATAAACAGTTTTTTAATAAATATCGAGAAGAAAAGTTGCTAAACATCAGAAAAAAAATTAATTAATTACTTTTTCATTCAAAAGTAGATATTTTATGATTAGTTAAATAAAAAAATTAATTAATTATAATTATATTTTAAAATAATTCTTTTTATTTTAACACCCCACAGATGGCGCTTTTAACAAACGTCAAAAATGCAAGTTGGTTATAAAAAGTTTTTATCAATATCAAGAAGAAAAGTTGCTAAAGACCACTAAAAGTGCTCGTATTGGAACTTTGAAAACTTTTCCTACACCTCTACAAACTTTTCCGATCATTTCAAGGTAAAAAGAAATAAACTTAGATCATTTACACCCACAACTTAATTTATAGGTTAGAATTTTTTAATTTTTTTCAAACATAAACATGTATTCTCCAAACAAGAATAAAATGATTCATATTTACATTAATTTTATTAAATAAGATAATAATCGTTTTTAATTAAACCAAATAATAGAAACAATTTTATATTTAAAAAATTTCATAGATGGCGCTTCGAAACCACAACAATTAATTATATTGTATGTTATAATTTAATTAATTATTACAAGAAAAAAAATTATTTAACCACTTTTTCATTCAAACGTAAAAATTATATGGTTAGATAAATAAAAAAATTAATTATAATTATATTTTAAAATAATTCTTTTTATTTTAGCACCCCACAGATGGCGCTTTTAACAAACGTCAAAAATGCAAGTTGGTTATAAAAAGTTTTTATCAATATCGAGAAGAAAAGTTGCTAAAGACCACTAAAAGTGCTCGTATTGGAACTTTGAAAACTTTTCCCACACCTCTACAAACTTTTCCGATCATTTCAAGGTAAAAAGAAATAAACTTTAATCATTTACACCTACAACTTAATTTATAGGTTAGAATTTATTAATTTTTTTATAATATAAACATCTATTCTCCAAACAAGAATAAAATTATTCATACCAATTTACATTAATTTCATCAAATAAGTTAAAAATCGTTTTTAATTAAACCAAATAATAGCAATAATTATAAATTTTCATAGATGGCGCTTCCAAACAACAACAATTAATTATATTATAATTTAATTAATTATTACAACAACAAAATTTAATTAACCACTTTTTCATTCAAAAGTAGAAATTATATGATTAGATAAATAAAAAAATTAATTAATTATAATTAAATTTTAAAACAATTCTTTTTATTTTAGCACCCCACAGATGGCGCTTCTGACAAACGTCAAAGATACAAATTGGTTATAAACAGTTTTTTAATAAAAATCGAGAAGAAAAGTTGCTAAAGACCACAAAAAGTGATCGTATTGGAACTTTGAAAACTTTTCCTACACCTCTACAAACTTTTCCGATCATTTCAAGGTAAAAAAAATAAACTTTGCTCATTTACACCCACTTCTTAAATTATAGGTTAGAATTTTTTAATTTTAGTTTCTTTAAGAATGAATGTAGTCTGTATACAGTTGTTCGCATCAAGGAAGCAATTTTAAACCGGCCGCATATCCTCATTTCCTCCTCCTCCTCCTTCAATAAAATAATTAATGCGAAATTCCCGCGGATCTATTAATAGACCCACTCATTCAACAAGTAAAGACGGCGACAAACAACGCCGCGGCCTTTTTTTTCAATGCCTGACAAACGTGTTTCAATCAAACCGTATCGAATAAAGATCAGGGAGAATTTGCATATTTCATATAAGTAAATTACGACCAAATCGCTTGTTTCCACTTTCAAACGAGCCGACCCTACCTTAATTGCATGCCTATAAATTAATAATTAAAATTAAATTTGTTTGTTAGAATTTAATTTTTTTGGTTTCAGTTGAAATTGGGTTAAAATGAAGTTGGCTTTTGGGGAAATGGAATCGTATGTATATGGTTTCCGTGGTGTAGTGGTTATCACATCCGCCTAACACGCGGAAGGCCCCCGGTTCGATCCCGGGCGGAAACATTTATTTTTTTTTTAAGAAATTGATGAAGTGAAGTAAGTAATTTTGTTATAATTATATTAATATTTTATTAATTAATTAATGTATCTTTTTGTTTTAGATTTTCATGGTAGAAAAAATTTTTTTTTAATAATTTAAATTATGTGGCCTTTCCACTCTTCAATTTGTCTGTCCTTCGATGTGCAGCTGTTTAATAGCCCGTGTCCTGGCGCCAGGACTTCCACCTATTATTTTCACCCGCCACCATATGCCCTTATACCAAGAGAGTCCCCTCTCTTTTGTATTATTTTTCGGTCCCTAACTATAATCTTATGGGTCGCTGCTCATATTTTAAAAGTTGCTTTATACCCCATAATGACATACAATTCCTCTCCGATACTATTTCCTGTTCCAAAACTTACCTGCATCATAACGAGCTATCTAGCAAATTGTTTGCGGATTAGTAACATTATTCGGCGGGAAATTTGAAATCGGAGAAGCCTGTTACTTCCTCTGCGCTAACCTAAACCGCAAAACAGGTTGCCCCCCACGGTTACGAAGGGGGGTCGGGCTCGTGTCCCGCGACCGAGCGTCGAGAGTGCGCGCGGGGGGCCCTAGAACACGGGGCCCCCCTCGTCGCTCCCGTTCTCGTCGTCGTCGTTGCTCGCACGTACCTCCGGTTTTCTATAAATAAATTTTCACTTATATATTAGCATCGGTAATGCGTGAGTGCGCGTCGGTCGCGGTGGTGGGGGTACCGGCGCACCGGTTAGAACAAGACAAACGGTTGATTTTTGGTCCCTTTCTATCAAGACTAATTCATAAACTGACAATGAAGTGTAGTCATAGAAAATTGCTAGATCACTTATGATTTATTATTATTAACAAACTATTTTTATTATTTTAGCACCATATCAAAAAAATAATTCGAGTGAAATTGGACATTATCAGAATCATAAATGTCAATTTTTGATTTATATGGGATATTGATTTCGTCAAGATGGGTTGAGTTTAGCGTTGGTGTTCAAGAAATGCAATAACGATATTTTCATAAAACATAACCTACTTCTAATTCCTACCAAGTCAAAGTCAATACGATGTGTTTAATTGCAAGCAATACTGAAGCACTACTGAAGAACGGAGGACCTAACCTTACCAAAGCGTTAACTGACCTCATACAGAAAGTGTGGACATGCTGAGAACGCATGCTAAAATTTGGAAACTGAGTATTGCAAAAACTTTAGGAGAATATCTCTACATAGTACAGCTTATAGAACCTAGAAACAAGGACGTCCAACAACAGAGAGTAAAATACGATACTTTCAAGATAAGTCAGGGTCTGAAACAATGAGATGGATTAGCACCAGTGATATTCAACCTGGCGCTGGAACATGAAGTAAGAAAAACGACAGTTGATGTGAACTCATTAACATAATCACAGAGCTGGAGGGAGCAACAATAGAGGTGGACCTGAAGGTGCTCATACAATTGTACTGTTACAGAGAAGTAACAGAACGAGAATGCAAAATCTAACGTAAATGACTTTGTATATCTTGGCAGCACTATATACAACATCCGGGACGAAATGAGAAAAATACGCAGAAGATAGGACGTACCAATAAAACGTACTACGCCCTGTCCAACCTTTTCAAGTCTGGAAACGTTAATAGAAAAACAAAGATACAGCTTTATAAGACAAATATAAGAGCAGCCCTATGCTATGGTAGTGAAGTTTGGATGCTGTCACAAAAGGCCGAATCAGACCTTGATGCTTTCGAGAGAAAGATTCTGCGTAGAATCCACGGTCCGGTTAAAGAAGACGAACAATGGAGAATATGATACAACCAATCTCGTTAAGGAAGCTAGTGTTTCAACGCATATAAAACTGCAAAGACTCAAATGAGCGGGTCATATGGAAGCAATGGACGTTTCAAGACTGTTGGACAAAAGAGTGCAACAGTCTCAAGGAACTTGAAGGCAGAAAAGAAGACCAGGTGATCGCTGGTGGGATAAAGTGGAAACAGATGCACGAACCATACTACAGGTGTATAATTGGACGGGCCTGGAGGAGGAAAATAGAGGAGGCCATGGGCCAAATTGGACTGTAGTGCCATTAATTGGATGGAATATTCTCTATTCCATCCAACTCGTCTATGAGCGAGGAGGCCATCGATCTCTGCTTATCAACCAGACATCAAATTACTGATGCAAATGTTCCCATGTCCTTCCTGTAGTATGAGTAGTTGCTCCATCTTATTGGAAGTAAGCCTGATGCAATTCATCATTTTGAAGTTGCTCTCGATAATTAATTGTAATGATGTTTTCTTCTTCTAGACATTGTCAATCAAACACCAACTTTTTGAGGATGTAAAGGACTCTCAACAATAACATGTGGATTTTCTGTAGCCCATATTCGACAGTTTTATGTATTTACATAAACGCTCAAATGAAACCATGCTTCGTCACTAAAAAATGTGAGGTCTAACATGTCATCATTATTTAAAACTTTGTTAAACCAATGACACTACTGTACAGGACGAGGAAAGTCAGGAAGCTGTAGCTGTTAAATCACAGTCACCTTGTATGGATGCATATCCAATATTTTTTTCGCTGATAAGCATCGTAACTATTTCTTCGGCCTTACTACTATTCTTTCACGAACATCTTCAACGATATCCTCTGTAAGAACTAGCTGTAGATTTTTTTACTAACCTAAGACGTTTCTCTAAATCTTTTAATTATACGGCGTATATGTTGAATAAGGGAATCAGAAATAACGTTGACTTCAAGAAACGCCACTTAAAATTGCTGATGGAAACTTTGTTACGAATATTTCAAAATTCCTCCTTTATTTACCAACGAGAAGTATGCGCTTATTATAAAAGAAATATAAAATATAACTCAAAAGCAATTAAAACAAACCACGCTACTGATTGTTAAAAATACGATGCAATACGTCAAAAACACAAGCCGCTACCAACGTTGTTTGTCAAATGTTACTAAAACAAAAGCGCGCCAAATTCAAACACCTTACAATCATTATTGAACGCTCTATACCAGATTGCATTTTATTCAGCCGAGGCAGTACAATATTGCGTCAATTGTCTGCCTCGGCTTAACTAGAAAAGGAAATGCCTGATTATATTTGATTCAGCCGAGGTTGCTTGCGGACGAGGCAGTACAATATTGTATCCATTATAATGCCTCGGCCGCAAGCGACCTCGGCTTCATATAATTTAATTACGACTTCGGCTAAATTAGGGGATCTAATATTTTTAATTGCTGAAATTGTATGCGGTGTATGTTGTTCTAAGTGTTTGTTGTAACTTAAGCCGAGGTCGCTTGCGGCCAAAGCAGTGTAATTAATACAAATGCCTGGTTGTAATTGATTCAGTCAATGTCTTTTGCAGCAGAGGAAGTGGAATATTGTGTCATTTGTGGTGCCTCGGCCGCAAGTGATCACGGCTTAACTATATAGAAAAGGAAATGCCTGATTATATTTCATTCAGCCGAGGTTGCTTGCGGTCGAGGCAGTACAATATTATATCCATTATAACGACTCGGCCGCAAGCGACCTCGGCTTCATGTAGATTACAACTTCGGATAAATTAGGGAATCCAATATTTTCTGTTTTAAGGTAAGCCGAAATTGTATACGGTCAAGACACTTGTTTTAGGTGTTTGTTGTAACTTGAGCCGAGGTCGCTTGCGGCGGAGGCATTATAATTAATACAAATGCCTGGTTGTAACTGATTCAGTCGATGTCTTTTACAGCCGAGGAAGTGGAATATTGTGTCGTTTGTGCTGCCTCGGCCGCAAGCGACCTCGGCTTAACTTGAAGCGTAAATGCATGATATTTGATTCAACCGAGGTCGCTTGCGGTCGAGGCAGTACAATATTGTATCAATTATAATGCCTCGGCCGCAAGCGACCTCGCCTTCATGTACAGTGTGTCCGTAAAGTAACGGATATAGGTGATAAAATCATTATAAACGGTTTATTAAAAAGCCCCTGCGTCCTTTACAGCCGAGGAAGTGGAATATTGTGCTGCCTCGGTCGTAAGCGACCTTGGCTTAACTTGAAGAGAAAACGCCTGATTATATTTGATACAACCGAGGTTGCTTGCGGTTGAAGTAGTACAATACTGTATCAATTATAATGCCTCGGCCGCAAGCGACCTCGGCTTCATATAAATTGTATGCGGTCAAGGCACATGTTTCAATTGTTTGTTGTAACTTAAGCCGAGGTCGCTTGCGGCCGAGGCATTATAATTAATACAAATGCCTGATTGTAATTGCTTCAGTCGATGTCTTTTACAGCCGAGGAAGTGGAATATTGTGTCGTTTGTGCTGCCTCGGCCGCAAGCGACCTCGGCTTAACTTGAAGGGTAAATACATGATATTTGATTCAGCCGAGGTCCCTTGTGGTCGAGGCAGTACAATATTGTATCAATAATAATACCTCGGCCGCAAGCGACCTCCTCTTCATGTACAGTGTGTCCGTAAAGTGACGGATATAGGCCATAAAATCATTATAAACGGTTTATTAAAAAGCCCCTGCGTCCTTTACAGCCGAGGAAGTGGAATATTGTGCTGCCTCGGTCGTAAGCGACCTTGGCTTAACTTGAAGAGAAAACGCCTGATTATATTTGATACAACCGAGGTTGCTTGCGGTTGAAGTAGTACAATACTGTATCAATTATAATGCCTCGGCCGCAAGCGACCTCGGCTTCATATAAATTGTATGCGGTCAAGGCACTTGTTCCAATTGTTTGTTGTAACTTAAGCCGAGGTCGCTTGCGGCTGAGGCATTATAATTGATTCAGTCGATGTCTTTTGCAGCTGAGGCAGTGCAATGTTATGTTATTTGTGTTGCCTCGGCTGTAATGTCTGATTATATTTGATTCAGTCGAGGCAGTGCGATACAATTTTTAATGAGTAGTATTAAAATAAATGAAATAGAATATTGTTTGTTTTGAGGTTTTCCGGCGTCTTAAAATTCTGAATGAATCTTTGCGGGCCGGCGTTCAACACACACAGACACACACAGAGAGGCGTCCGACGGCGCCGCCGTTTCTTCTCTCTTTCTCTTTCCGAGCGGCCGCTATCTATCGGTCGCGGCCAACTCCATACGTTGGTATCGTCTGGGGTCGGGTGCCCTGGCGCCTATATGGCGCCATGTGGCACGGCCGCTGGGCGCCCCCCCTTTCCGCGCGTTACACGGCGCAGACGAAGGGGGCCCGATACGGTATCGCGAGCACGACGAGGATGGAAAGATTGCCTCGCCGCACGTCACGCTGTTAGTTAAAAGTTTAGCCTCACTCCGCGTTTCAGTCGAGAACCGACCGTCGCGACTCGTCGACGTGCGCCATCCCAGTTAAACGCGCAACATTTTTTTTTGAATCATTTACGGTTATGAATATTATTTTGTTGAAAAGTGTTCGAGATAGAAAAATATATTGTGATATGTTTTACTTTTTATCGAATACTAAAAGGGAGAATCGAATTTTTATTTGAAACTAGGCTTTAGAAATAATTCGTTAAAAATCGTATTTTTAAAAAACATTCGCTTATTGGGGGGAAACGGGGGTGTGTTCAGGTTAAAAGTGCTTCCGCTAGACGTAACCAAATGTACCTTTCCAAGGAGAAGTGCCGTACACAGCGGATACATGTTCAAGTTCCGCAGGAAGACCGCGCTGGTTAAGAAATTGCTCAAGGAGGCGTCCCGACCGGCTAATGGACCTTCTGACGAGGGCCTATGTTACCAGAAGCTGGCAGCCCTCCTCAGGAAACTCAACGCGAACCAGCTCGAGATGTTGCACCAGGTCGTCACGACCAAAGGAAAGGGCAATTTCGGTTGCGTCCTCGTTGAAAATGACGGTATCGTCGAAGATCCTCATTTACTCTGTTGCAAGAGTTGGAGATGGAGCGATGATTGGAGAAGGGACGAAATCAGAAGGTTGCCGGTTTGCGGTTCCGCGAGAGACAAAGTGTATGTTTGTATTAATCCTTATCATCTCAGCAAATTATGTATACCAGGTAAGTCTCTATTTCATCTTTTTTTAATAATCGACTTTTTATCTTTTTAAAATGTTTACCCTATCAAATTGTTGGAATGTACACTCCGAAGCAATAAACAATTCAACAATTCAGATAATTATTGCGAACGAAACGCATTTCAATCTCTCTCTGTTGCTGTCCGCTGAGAAAACAAACCCATAAATGTATTTTTAAGCGATTAAAAGATCGTTTTCATTTCGATTTTGTAGGTCATCATTCATCATTTCAATAATTATTTGTTTTATCTTAAAAAAAATAACTATGTACGTGAATGTTGCAACGTTCATCTATGCACCAGCTTGCCAGTTTCGTGATTATGCGACATTCCAACGATCCTAACGACCGATATGTTAACAAGTGGCATTGTTAAAGGTGTAATTATGCCCATAAAACGAGAGACTCTTATATAAAACTCCGTTTCTTTTTATTCTCATTATTTAACAAACCCGAATTTAAACAAAATTTTAGTTACTCATTTTTAACATTAAAAAAAAATTTTTTTTGTTTGCCACGATGTTGTTTAACATTTCGATAAGATAATAATAATTTTACCTTATCTAATTTTACGTAGGTTGATACAATTTCAAAATAATTCTATCGTTAATTTTTATTTTCGTTAAAAACGAAAATTTTAGGTTATAAATGTCAATTTGACGTTTGAGACGTCATAATTTTCATTTGAAATATCAATTTGACGTTTTAAAATATTTTTTTATGGTTTAATAAGATTAATGTTTAGAAAATTAAAGTTTAGTTTTAGATTTTAACCAATCTCCAAGTTGATATTGGTTTTTGTTAAATTCTATAAGATTTTATGCGTGATGCAAATAAATATTAACATTAATTTTTGATAATGTGGCCTAAGATGAAAAATACTGCAAGTATTAAGTTTCATCTCTTGTAATGGATGCTCAGCAAATATCTTCCAGCATAACTTGAGCCATATCTCTCTTAACCACGAATTAGACAAAAAAACTTATATTCTGTAATAAAAAAAATGTTGATGGCGTCATAACTTGAAAACAAATGACTATCGGAAAGTGAATTTGGGCTCAAAATGTATGGTTTAAAAAACCAAAATAGACTTGTTTTTGCAAAATCATGTTTATAAGCATTTTATTACACACTGTATAAGATATCTCCTATACTAATAGGCCTCGCCTATTGTTTAACTGATATACAGGATGTTCCATTTTTGGTTTAAACCCATAAATAGCTAAGATATGGGCTTTCAAAATTAAGAAATTTTTAAACATTTTCTTTAATATTTTCAATATGGTTTGTTTTAGAAATATAAAATTTGGTAAACAATGCAATTTTATCATAAAAAATCGTTTAAGATCACTTTTTTCTTAAGAACACACAGGGTGTTCACAAAGGTATTTCCTAAAAATTGTTTTAAAACGATGCGTCTAATCAAAAATTTCTATGAGTGAAAATAATTTTAAAATGAAATAGGCTTTTAGAATCAGTTGGGAATTTTAAAGGTTACGACATAATAAAAAAGTTTTAAGGAAATAACCTTTGTGGACACCTGTATAGCATTAATCCCGTGGTTGCATACCTTCAAAAGTGATCTTAAACGATTTCTCATGATAACATTTTAAATTTTATCGTGTTCCATTTTTGGTCTAAACCCATAAATAGCTAAGATGTGGGCTTTCAAAATTAAAAAATTTTTAAACATTTTCTTAAATATTTTCAATATGGTTTGTTTTAGAAAGATAAAATTTGGTAAACAATGCAATTTTATCATAAAAAATCGTTTAAGATCACTTTTGAAAATATGCATCGCACGGAATTAACACTATACAGGCTGTTCACAAAGAGTATTTCCTAAAAACTGTTTTAAAACGATCAAAAATTGCTAAGAGTGAAAATAATTTTAAAATGAAATAGGCTTTTAAAATCAGTTGGGAATTTTAAAGGTTACGACATAATAAAAAAGTTTTAAGGAAATAACCTTTGTGGACACCTGTATAGCATTAATCCCGTGGTTGCATACTTTCAAAAGTGATCTTAAACGATTTCTCATGATAACATTTTAAATTTTATCTTTCTAAGACAAACCATAACTTATTTGACTTAAACTCTAGTATTTGTGATTCAAATTATGCCACGACTTACAGAAACACCCTGTATTTTATTGCACACCGTATAAGATATCTTCTATACACACTTGCCTCGGCCGCAAACGGCCTCGCCTATTGTTTAACCATTCATCATTGATAAATTTCACGATCACGATATACAGGGTGTTCCATTTTTGGTCTAAACCCATAAATAGCTAAAATATGGGCTTTCAAAATTAAGAAATTTTTAAACATTTTCTTAAATATTTTCAATATGACTTGTCTTAGAAAGATAAAATTTGATAAACAACACAATTTTATCATAAAAAATCGTTTAAGTTCACTTTTGAAAATATGCATACATGGGATTAATGCTATACAGGCTGTTCACAAACATTATTTCCTTAAAACAACTGTCAAATTATTACCCAACCTTCGTTAATTGGTAATAGTTGTTTAAAATGACAAATAAATACAGTTTTAGTGAGCAAACGACATGCTTTTAACATTGGGAGAGTATTTAGGTATTTCAATGCTAACGCGGTAAACTGATTATGACTACAAGAATTAAAAATTGCTGCTATGATGGAAAAATGTACTATTGATGCTGCGTTTTTAAAAAAATACTTTTGATTGATGACCATTAATTTGACATATTGCTTTATTTACGATTTATTTTCATGGACGCCTACGATTAATGACAGTAGTTCATGGACGAGGTTGTATCTTTTTGTAAATAGCTTTAAAACAATGCGTCTAATCAAAAATTTCTAAGGGTGAAAATAATTTTAAAATGAAATAGGCTTTTAGAATCAGTTGGGAATTTTAAAGGTTACGACATAATAAAAAAGTTTTAAGGAAATAACCTTTGTGGACACCTGTATAGCATTAATCGCGTGATCTTAAACGATTTTTCATGATAACATTTTAAATTTTATCTTTCTAAGATAAACCATACCTTATTTGACTTAAACTCTAGTATTTGTGATTAAAATTATGACACGACTTACAAAAACACTCTGTATAAGAAGCGTTTCATAAACGTATTTCGGCTGTAAGCGACTTGGGTTACTATACAGGGACGGTAATATGTATGGATCTTCTGAAATACGATATCTAACAAAAAATTTTAATATACAAAACAATATAATCAAATTAAGTATACAGGGTCAGTCAAAAAGTTATGACGAAACAAAATTATGTTTTCTTCAATGGAACACCCCCTGTATATTATTCTATATTTCAGTTCATTTTGAAATTCTACACAAAATTCATATAGCACATCATAAACCTAAACTGAACCGTTTTTCAGATATCGAACTTTGAAAATGTATCTAATTAGTTAGGTCATTTTATCTTTGTGTGCAAATTATTGAAATTAAATTAATTTTTGACATGTGTTATGTCACTGCGTTGCTATGGAGATAGAAACTTTTAAAGGTAACGTGATGAACTATGAAAATAACCGACTAAAATATTTTTGTGTAATTTTTAACAAAGTAATGAAATAATGGAATAATATACGGAGTGTTTTATTAAAGAAAACGCAACTTTTAAAATAATAATAAATTTAAAAAAACACTAAAACGTTTGTATCTAGCCATCGTAGCGTCTGTATATGATATACAGTGTGTTAATTAATTATCGGACCCGACGTCATCATTGCAAGTATGCAACCAATATCACAGTATTGGTATTGCAATACACAAATAACGTAATTCAAGGGGTGATTTTTCAGCAATAACTAAGCCCTCTAAAGTTAGGACAAAAAATTGTTTTTATTTAATAAATCCATTATGAAGGAATTTGAAATGAAATTTAGCAGATAACTTTTGCTAATAAAATGACACTTTTTGACGATTTTTATAACCCAAAATATTATTAGATGGAGGTGAAAAAATGCTTTACATCAGAACTTTTTAATAGATCTACATTTTTCTATAAGATATATCTATACCTGTACCTCGGCTACTAAATATCGTATTCATCAATGATAAACTTCACGATCTTTATATACAGGGTGATTCTCAACGTATACGCATAAAGTTGGGTGAAGAAAATTGTAGCAAAAGTATTTTAGTTTTCTAAATATCCGAGAAATTTACTTTCAAATCAAGAATACATAGAACATAGCACTATCACTAGAACTAACACTAGATAGTGCTACTATTAGTTCTAGTTTTAGTTTAATACATAGATAATTTAAAATTAACATCACAACAATTGTTCGAAGTTATTTCCCATATTTTCTATACAAAATTGGGCTCCCCAAGTCTACGATCTCCCTCCCACTACTGAGGCCTAAACCACAATATTGGCGGATTGCCTCGGTAATGTAGCCTATTTTGGAATACTTGCTCAGTACTTTGGTGGCATACTATGCTTTTTAAGTGACCCTAAAAATAGAAGTCAAGAGGATTGAGGTTGGGCAATCCAGGTGACTAGACCATTAGACCGGAAAACACATTATCTAGATATTGTCCCATATATCGAATATCTAGGAAACCAAAAATCTTTTACTACAATTTTTTCACCTATTAGCCATTATTTGTCTCGAGGAATAAATCTCCAAGTTTATGCGTATAGGTTGAGAATCACCCTGTATAAGATATTTCCTATACTCGTGCCTTGACTATACTACCTATAGCATTCATCAATGATATACATCATTGTCTCTATATCTATATAAGATATCTTCTATATTCGTGCCACTGCTGCAAGCGGCCTATCGCTTCTTTCTTTCTTACCAACTTCAGAAGGATACATCTTTTAAACAGGCGAAAAGGAGACTTCAGTTTTTATTTCCTTTCTTAGTTATGGTAATAAATTTATTTATTTTATTGTTTGGACAATGTACATCATCATTTTCTCCATTTACCAATCTTTGGCAGGTTTTACAAGTGAGGT